CACACACACACACACACACACACACACACTATCAGTACTGTACTAATATCACACAATTATTATTACAGTCTCTTTGACAGTCAAAGTTTTAGTTATAAAGATAAATTAAAACTTGAGTTTGTAACAAAAAATATCAACATGTCAAGAACCTATTATCAATTCAAAGGCATATAATTACGCATTATCATAATAATAATTATGAAGTTGCCAACAAAAAATAGTTAAAAAAAAACTTTGTACTTAAGATTAAGAAAACAAAAACAAACTTTTTCTTTTATCTAAAAAACGAAATAACTTCTATCTAATCTTTGGTTATTATGTAGCGCGACAAGTCAACAACTCACGAACACGAAAGAAGTTTCGGTTTTAGTAGTAGTTTCGGCCGGTTCGCTGCCAAAACCGAAACTAAAACGAAACTCCAATTCTGTGCCGAAACTGGCCGAAACCGAAACCAAAACCGAACCTTCGGTCGGACACTTCTAATTTTCCTTCTCGCACACTTCTGCACGCACGGATACGCGTCGATTTCACGAAAGTGTGAAATACAAAAGCGAGTTTAAGCGTCGATTAAAAAAAAAAAAACAAATCACTGTGCAATCTGTTAAGTGGAATTAAAAATCATCGACCTCATTTTAGCTGGGAAAGATGAGTTATGAGTTTAACGCGAAGGAAAGGCGCGTACATCATATGTGTAACAAACGTAAGAGACTCTTGTCTGAGACTATAATTGTTCGAAAGTAGATGAAAATATTTTTTTTATCACTGTTCCAGATTTAGAATCTAGATCAAATTTTGACGGAAATACGACAAACTGTATAAAGATATTTATTTATTATCTTAAGATTATCTTAAGATAAATATCTGTCGTGATATTTTTCCACAAAACTTACAAATAGAATTTTTACAACTCGGATGATTCAGACGTTCAAACGATTCCGAGAACTCGGATGATTCAGAATTTGTATAATTCTCAACATTATTCTCATTATTTCACAGTATTATTATCGGTGTATGTGAGTAACAAGAAACTAAATAGATTTTTAAAACTCGCTACTATCAAGTAGCTGGTCATACAATAGCGGTATAAGTTTCCAGCTGATAAAAGTGCTAGCGAGACGTCTCTCTTTCGGCTAATCAGTGTTAAAAAGAACGGTCAAAATCCGTTATCGTGAACAAAAAAGTAAACAGCCAATGCTATTGATCTTTCACTCCGAGATGAATTCCGATCATACCTATTGTATGTCGAAGCCGATACTTGCTAACCAGAAGAAACCACGCCACGCGTGCCGACTGTGACACTTCTTGTATAAGCGGACGACGACGCCGGGTGACGACGATCCGCGCGACGTCAATCGCGATTGATTGACGAAAGTAACAGCCGCATTGGAACGGCGATAATACCGAGTAACAAGGTTAAAGCGCACATCGTCGCAGCGAATAAAACACGTGTATTGCGCGGAGTGTATTGTTATTATACGTGAATTTTTTAATGGGAAATATATCATTCGATAAACTTAAATAACAATTTTGTTCCACAAATTAGTACGGAAAAACCGACGTCAACTCTTCGTCGGCGCTAGCTCAAGACCCGATGGATATTTGTTAAGTTACAAAACCGTAACTGTAAATATATATTTAAATCATAATAAATAAAATAAATATATTACAGAATAAAAGAAAATAATTTAGTCGCTATTTGTATGCAAAGCGACTTTTCGATTATTCAGTAGATACGGGTCAGAAGTGATCCAGCCACAATCTGAAGGATACGTTTATCGAGGGTTAGTGTCTCAACACATTCACCAGACCCATAAAATAAAAACGAGACACACACTTGACAAGTGAATCAACACGTAAGACGCGACGTTGCTATTGCGTCGAGCCTCGTGTTCAGCGATACGATCGCTGATATCTGTTGATTGCTATTATGCGATATCACAGTCAAAGCTATGTAATTATCAATTTGCCAGACATTTTTCTTCCGTTCAAGAAAAGCAATGATGATAGCTTATATCTTCGCAACGGACGCGAAGAAAACACGGTTCGTACATTTTTTTTTCTTTTCCCATAATGTATGTGTGTGTGTGTGTGTGTTTGGTTTCCCACAGAGCTTCATCTCTCACTCTCGACCGACCGATGATCCCGCAATATCGAAGTCACGACGAGAGGGCTTCGAACGAAAGTGCACACGAAGCGAACGGGGCACCGGAGGGACACCGGATAAACGCGAATAAAGCAGTGAATCAGCAGCCTCTTGGACTCCGCATCCATTTTACACGAGTCAATGCAACATTTACATTTACACACCGAGCGCCAACTCGATGTTATCGCGAGAAGATCCCGCAAAAGTTGGAAACTGAACATTCGAACAAAATTCGCGATGATTACTTTATTTACATACCCGACTGTTAACAATTTAAAACGTCGCAAAAAAAAGTGATTGAACTTTTCGCGACTTCTCTCTCTGCGCGAGTTTTGCGAACACTTTTTCTCGGAACGTGTTTGTTCTTTGCGTGTAGATAACATTTATATATACATATACACGCAAGTGCAAATTGCACGAGCGAAGCGTTTGCGACCTTGCAATGCTTTCCTGTGCATTCTAATTATACCCGCCCAAACATACGGCCGGATTTAACGGGGCTTAAGTAGCGTCTCTCCGCGCCGTTACTATCGTCACGTGTTCGCAAAAAAAAAACAAGCACACTCATGTTCCTCGACACACGATTCATTCAAAAAGACGGGCCGATTCACGAAAACAATGTACTCACGTTAATTGTTATCGCTTTGGCGCAGCGCGTCGTCGCGCGTTGAAAGACGCGAATAATAGACGGTCTCAAATAAATATTCACACAGCTGCCCGGCATCCAAATACGAAGGAAAAGAAAACGCATCGTTTTGCGTGTGATATTTAAATGCAACGTTGAAACGAATATTAATACATGGAAAATAACATAAATTGTCAAAATATTACGTAATATTGAATAAAAACAACGACGCTAAAAATCTTTGTGTATTGAAGTATGCGTAAAATATGCGCGTGCATAAAATAGATAAAGAATTTTTATTAACACGCGCGTGTTATTTTCACAATATTTGAAAAAGA